CCATTCACCGGTCCATCTGCCAGTCTATCTATCTCCTCTTGTTTTTCCCCCTCTGGAGAATCTGCACTAACACACAAGGACCCTTGGGAAGATGTTTAGTTCTAAGACTTCATTGCTGGGAATGTCACTGAAAAGTACAACTACTAAGACATGGCAAAGGGGCCCAGGCACCCACTGAAAGAGCTTCCAGTGGCTCGGAAGGAGCACTGTGGCCAGCAGACTGGCACAGCATTTGTTTATAATTCACTGTGTGTCATAGAGAGCGATTAGCCCTTTATTTCAATGGAAATAAATAAGGAACAATTTGATCAGTAATACAGCAGCATTAGACTATAACTCGATGAATGTTACAGAGAGCCATGGGCCCGTGCTAACGGGACTAAGTGCTTCGTGAACAACCAAATGGAGTGAAGTGAACAGCTTTTTCATAGGTACCTGCTCTGTTCTCCAGGAGGCCGGACACAGCTACCCCCTCTGACCTCCATCCAAAGAGAAATATGTGGAAGAGGGAAGTCGGAAGAAGGCTGACAGGGAGAGGCCGGACATACCACCACAAAATGCTCACAGTTGTGTGGAGAGCATGGATGCTTTCCTTTTTTAATCTCTCCCTTTCTCCCTCTCTCTTTCCCTCTCTCAATCTCTCCCTCTCTCTCTCTTCCCTCTCCCCCTCCTTCCCTCCTTCTCTGTCTCCCTCCCTCTCTCAATCTCTCTCTCTCCCTCTCTCTTTCTCTCTCTCTTCCTCCCTCTCTTTCCCTCTCTCAATCTCTCCCTCTCTCTCTCTTCCCTCTCCCCCTCCTTCCCTCCTTCTCTGTCTCTCTCTCTCTCTCTCTCTCTCTCTCTCTCTCTCTCTCTCTCTCTCTCTCTTCCCCCTCCCCCTCCTTCCCTGTCTCCCTCCCTCTGCCTCTTTCTCTGTGTATACAATAAGTGTGTGTGTATATGAATGTGTGCATGTGCATGTGTGGGAGTGCAGACCAATACATGCCACCTTGTGCATGTGGAGGTCACAGGGCAGTACTAAGTGTCAGGCCTTGCTTGTTACTTTGTCTGAGGCACGGTCTCCTTGATGGTCACCACTGAGTATTCTGGGCTAGCTGGGATGCAGGCTTCCAGGGAGTCTTCTGTCCCCGCCTCCCGTGTGCTGTAGGCATGCTGGAGCTACAGACTCACGGGACAGTGCCCAGCATTTACACAGGCCACGGGGATTCAAACCTGGGTCCTCACACTCTTGCAGAAGCACTTTCCCGTGCAGCCATCTCCCCAGCCTGAAAGAGAGCACCCTTGATATCTGTGCTGGCTAATTTTATGTCAACTTGACACAAGCTAGAGTTATCTGAAAGGAGGGAACCTCAATTGAGAAAATGCCTCCATAAGATCTAGGTACAGGGCATTTTCTTAATGAGTGATTGATGTGGGAGGGCCCAACCCAATGTGGGTGGTGCCATCCCTGGGCTGGTGGTCCTGGGTTCCATAAGAAAACAGGCTGAGCAAGCCTGAGGAGCAAGCCAGTAAGCAGCACCCTCCATGACCTCTGCATCAGTTCCTGCCTCCAGGTTCCTGCCCTGTTTGAGTTCCTGTCCTGAGTTCCTTCAGCGCTGAAGAGCGCTGTGGAAGGGTAAGCCAAATGAAGCCCTTCCTTCCCAACTTGGTTTTTGACATGCTATCAGGAAACACCAGAAGATCTCACAAGCCAGGCCTCCATCTTATACATTGCCCTCAAGATTTATTTTTTCAGAGGGGAGTTTACAGACTATCAAGGCCATTTGTTATTTTGAATTAATTTGGTTCTGGTTAGCTGGGGCTAAAGAACTGTGATTAACAAGACACCAGAACTATTAAAGTGAATAGTTTGCTTTGCTGGGATACTTTATGCTGGTTGGCTGGAGCTGAGAAATTAGTGGTGATTAAGAAGAGACCAGCATCACTGAGGTGAGATCTTCTGGCGTTTCCTGAGAGCACACAGAAGCTGTGTTCCAGAGATGGTCAAGATTGACCCTCACTCTGGCAGCTGAACTTGGTAGTGTAAGAGTCACCAAGGTGGTACTGGTTTTGAAAGTCAGGGAGAGCGGCTGAGGCTTGGCACTGTGAGAGGCCAGGAGAGGCCATCGGTGAAGGAGCAGCCTCAGTGGCAGTTGAAGGCCCAGGACTGAAGGGATCATGCAGAGAAGTTGAGGCTTGGCACCATGAAAGAGCCTAGGAGAGGCTGTTGGTGAAAGTGCAGCCCAGCTGCAGCAGAAGACCCCAGGGCCATGGGGTGACCACCAAGAACCGCAGCAGCGGTGGAGTGGAGCCAGCCAGAGCCCAGAAGACAGGCTGTGTGTGCTGCAGAGGGTGGAGCCAGAGAAGTGACCCAAGGCCCTGGGAGGAGCCCAGGAGATCATGAGTGGATCCCAGATATTGGACATTGAGTTATTTACACTGTTGGAGTTTGGTTTTGCTTTGTTCAGATTGTGACTGTGCCTTGGTTCTTCCCTCTTGAAGTAAGAAAGTGTTCATTTTTGATTTTATAAGAGCCCACAGTGGAGAGACTTTAAACTTGAGAGAGAGAGGGGCGGGGAAGAGAAAGAAAAAGAGAGATATTTTGGGGTTTTACAGAGAATTTGGATTTTAAAAAAGAATGTATTTTTTTTCAGTTAAGATTTTTATTGAACTATGGATGAAAATTAATTTTATAAACTTTCTTTTTATTTATTCTTTGTGTCTTTCACATCATGCATCTGATCCCACCCATCTCCCGTCCCCTCACATCTGCCCTCTGCCCCTGCAACCTCCTCCCCAAAATAAAATTTAAGAGGAAAAAAAAGGAAGAAAGGGAGAATCTCTTCATGGAAGCTGCAGTGTGACACAGCGAGTTACTCAGAAAAGCCGCTTTCCATACATCTTTACATGCAGGCGTTCATCGCAAAGAATCACTGGTCTGCTTCAAGGCCCCAGGTCTCTGCTGCACCATGGACACTGGGCCCTCACTGGGACTCGTCCTGGACATGCCGTTGCTGCCCTGTGTGGTGGAGATCCTGCAGCCCTGGGTCCACAGGACACCCTCACCCCATCCCCACCCCCGTGCTCCAGCAGATCACCGATGAGGTAGATGTTGGGGTGGGCCAACACATAACCCTGGTCTGGGCTGGGTAGTTGCAGGGTTGGTCAGCCTGCCAGCTCTCCCCTGTCCTCACCACCAGGGTGAGCTCTCCTGCACTGCCCCGGCTAGTTCACTCCTTGCTGTGATGAGCAAGGGGCGGGGCCGGTTCTCCCACACCCACACCATCAGGACCAGCTCTGCTGTGTTGCCCAGGCACGGTGTAGGAGCCGCTCTCCCGAGTGCTGCAGCTCGTCAGTGGCAGGGCCGGCTCTCCCACTCCTATGACTTCAGGGCCGGCTCTCCCACCTGCCTCAGGTGTGGATGGGTGGTGGTGGTGGTGGCATCTCTCCCCTGTCCCTGCTGCCACATGACACATGAGTAATGGGGACAGCTCTCCCATGCTCACACCTCCGGGCCTGTCACACCCACACCTCCTCCAATGGGGTCAGCTCTGCTGTGCTGCCAGGGCCAGGTGCAGGGTCCACTTTCCCAAGTGCTGCAGCTGGTAAGGGGAGGGTCAGCTCCCTCACCCACCACAGGTGACAGGGGCAAGGGGGAGAGACTTTTTAAAGAGACAACTTTTAAAGTGTTTGAATTTGTAAGACTATGGGACTTTTTGAGTTTGTAAAATGTTTTATATTGTGATGTCTTTATTAATGTGTAATCTTGGGGATAAGCAGGAAAAGAAATGTTGTGACTTAACAATGATGTGTTTGTGTGTCAAGCTGACAAGGGGTCACTTGTGCTGACTAGATTTATGTCAACTTGACACAAGCTAGAATTATCTGAAAGGAGGGAACCTCAATTGAGAAAATGTCTCCATAAGATCTAGCTATAGGCCATTCACTTAATTAGTGATTGATGGGGGAAGGCCCAGCCCAGTGTGGGCGGTGCCATCCCTGGGCTGGTGGTCCTGGGTGCTATAAGAAAGCAGGCTGAGCAAGCCATGGGGGAACAAGCCAGTAAGCAGCACCCTCCATGACCTCTGCATCAGCTCCTGCCTCCAGGTTCCTGCCCTGTTAGAGTTTCTGTCCTGACTTCCTTTGATGATGAGCAGTGACATGAAAGTGTAAGCCAAATAAATCCTTTCCTCCCCAAGTTGTTTTGGTTATTGTATTTCATCACAGCAATAGTGTGATGAACTAAGACAATAGCACACACCGAGAGTGGCGTTTGACTAGTGTGGTCTTCTTCAAAACCTACAGCACAGGTCTAAGCATAACAAAAGCACCAGACAGATTTTAGTTGAGGAACATTCTTCAAAATACCTGACCTCAGATCTGTTAAGGTCATCAAAACTAGGGAAAGTGTGAGATACTGTCATGGCCTGGAGGAATCCAAGGAGACTGGTGACTAATGTGATTCTAGAAAACAGAAAAAAGAACTAGGTAACAGCTTAAGAAAATGTGGGGGAAAAAAAGAAAATATGGGGGCTGGGGCATGGCTCAGGGGTAGAGAGCCCCTTCCTAGAGTTCCCCAGTGAGGGCTCAGTGGTAGAACACCTGCCTAAATCCCCCAGTGAGGGGCTGGGGCCATGGCTCAGTGGTAGAGCCCCTGCCTAGAATCCCCCAGTGAGGAGCTGGGGTGTGACTCAGTGGTAGAGCCCCTGCCTAGAATCCCCCAGTGAGGGGCTGGGGTGTGGCTCAGTGGTAGAACACCTACCTAGAATCCCCCAGTGAGGGTCTGGGGTGTGGCTCAGTGGTAGAGCCCCTGCCTAGAATCCCCCAGTGAGGGGCTGGGGTGTG